CGCCGTTCTCCTTTGAGTCGCCGAGACGCTGTGCGAGGGACTTTGCATTGTCCAGAACCTGTTGTTGGTAGTCCTTGAACTCTTTGGTTGAGGCTTGTTGCAGAGCTACAGCCAGAGCAGTGATGGTGTGGTTGTGGGGTCCTCCCTGGTGTCCGGGGAACACCGATGCATTGATAGGGCCCTCCAAGTCATACATCTCCTCCTTGCCCTTCTTGTCGACCTTCCGTACGCCCTTGCGGTAGAAGATCATGGCGCCTCGCGGGCCTCGCAGCGACTTGTGTGTAGTGGTGGTGACGATATCGGAGTGGGGGAACGGAGAGGGGATGACGCCGGCGGCAACGAGACCTGAAATGTGAGCCATATCGGAGAGGAGGTATGCGCCAACATCGTCTGCCAGCTTTCGCATGCGCTCGTACTCGATCAACCGACTGTATGCTGATGTGCCTGCAACGATGACCTTTGGCCTGTACAGGTGAGCCAGCTCTGACATCTTCTCATAGTCGATGATGCCAGTCTTCTCGTTCAGCCTGTATGGGAGGGTCTCGTAGTATTTGGACACGGCGGAGATCTTCTTGGTGGGTGTTTGGTATCCGTGCGACAGATGGCCTCCGTGGGGCAGATCGAGACTGAGGATACGGTCGTGGGTGTTGAGGACGGCGGAGTAGGCGTAGAGGTTCGCAGGTGATCCGGAGAGGGCTGTGTTTTGTTAGAAGAAGGTGTAGCAATTTGATCGACTGACTCACGCTGGACATTGACACCCCACTCATCAGGGCTCAAACCGAATGCCTTGAGTGCTCTTTGCTGACATAGGCGCTCGGCCTCGTCGATGTGCTCGTTTCCTCCGTAGTATCGTGCACCTGGGTATCCTTCCGAGTACTTGTCTATGGCGTCGTGTAAGCTTGAGGTTGTGGTGTGAGGATGCGCGGAACATACTCTGCATCACACTGCCGAGCGCATCGAGCACAGCTTGGGATGTGAAGTTCTCCGAGGGGATGAGGTTTATGAAGTGCTTCTGGCGATTCTTCTCCTGCGATAGAAGTATTGTGAGCTTCGTCTTCGTATCTGCGACCTAGGTATGTGGCAACGAACCCTGTTGATGATCTGATAGACGGTGGGATCGGCTTGTTCAAGATCTTGGGAGAGGATCTGCCGCTTGTTAGTATTTCTGCCCGCTTTATCCTGCTATCATAAGATGTACCTTTTGCTGCGCATCCATACTTGTCGCATAGCCCCGCCATTGTTGTGTCTGTATTCTTGCATGGTTGGTGGCAATTGAGGCTGTGGAGCGCGAGGTGAGCTGGCGCAAAGGCGCTCTGCAGGCTGCTCTGAGGTTCGCCATGTTGAGTCGATCTGGTATACGCAGTGGAAGCGTGGCGCGACCTTATAAACGTGCTCGATGCCAGCCGGACTCGTAGTCTCAATGAGGCAACGAAACGATGGGCCCGCTTAATCACGGACTAGGGCGGCACTGGCAGGGGTCAGGGCCTCGGCGCCGTTTCTCCGTTCTCCGGCGGTAAAATATCGACGCTTCCGTCTCGCGTCCTCTCTTCTTTTCTTCACGTAACTAAACCCGAGATGATATGACTGCTTTCAATTCAGCTGCATCCTCACTTGGCTGGCGCAAGCTGGCCGATGTGGGAGCTGTTGACACGCCCCGGCACCCACCACCTAGGGGGACGAAAAAATCTATGATCGGCTCGTTACGTAGGAAGCATCTGTTGATGCTGCTGTATTGTGTCCGGCGCGGTATGGTCTGGAGCACGAAATGTATAGTGCCTTCACTCCGTTCCGCTGTCATCACCTTGTATGTAGCATTCCAATGTAATCGTTGTTGTCACCACGTCTTGTTGTTGCTCATAAGAATTACTCACCATGAATGTGCCACACCTCAGTATGACGTCGACTATATTGACTCTACACCTTCACATAAGCAGGCGAAGCAACAGCGGTTCACCTTAACTCTCAGCATGCGTAATTGCTAATCGAGAGGCCGAACGCGGAACTGAACTTTGCTCCTGCTAGATAACACGGCTGGACACAAGCTTTCCACTCACTTCTACCCTAGCCCTGAGAGAGACCCTGATGGACTCACGACAGTACCACTTGGCAGCTCCTTCACACGCAGACTGTGATCGATTTCTGATAAGCGTTTTCAACGTGCGCTTTCGAGCTTCGTGCACGAAAGACAGGTGACAGCCTGCACCCAGTCTCTGAGATCGTAGGAACTTCTGAGCATGGATGAAGGACACTGCCCTCACCTCCTCCAACCGACTGCCAAGGTTACTAGTAACAGTTCTTAGCCTGGAAAGCGCGCGTGGCAACGACCGTCACTGCCTTAGACGCGCTTTCTCTGTTTACTGACCCCGCGTCTACTGCATCAACTCCTTCTTAGCCGCAACCTCTACCTCTCCCTCTGCTTCTAACAGCGGGGATCCAACGGCCAAGCGTGACCGTTTCTTACACCGCTAACAGCCTCGACTAGCAAGGTGTCCGCATATAAGAATCACATCATGGCGCCCAAACTCAAGACACCGAGCCTGCCTCCTCCAACAACACCGAAGAGTCGCGACTCGAGTCCGGAGCTAGGCAGCCCTTCCAAGATCACGCAGTACAACCAGAAGACAGGCCGTCCGGTTCGAAAGAGCGCAGGCAAGATTCAGAAAGTGGCAGGCTACGTCGATTTCGAAGACGCCGACTTTGACGCCTTGACCGAGAGTGAGTTGAGCGAGTTGAGCGACGAGGAGGAAGAGGACGATATGGACCCGCGCAGCCGTTCAGACAAGAAGAAAAAGGGCGCACTGAAGCGCAAGCGCAGTCCCTCACCTCCGTCTCCGCGTCTAGAGCCCGTTGTCTACCGCCAGGAGCTCGATGACCTCACCGACAATGAGGATGCCGGCGCCTTTCATCGGAGTGCTCCGAAGAAGCCGCCCATGACCTTGCAGTTCAACGTCCCGCTAGGCTTCCACGGTCCACTCTTCGTCAAGCTCGACAGCACCATCCTACAGACCAACGAGCAGGGCAAACTACACGAGATGCAGCCAGGCAAATCGACTAAGTCCCGTGTTACAGGTCCGCAGCCAGCCGGAAAGTCCGCGGTAGGCAGCGTAGGTTTCACGGATCTGCCGCCCGAGCTAAGGAACACTATCTATCGGTACCTTTTCGCTCGCAAGGACAAGACCTCGAAGCTCAGGATTCCGATGACGGCCATCGATCCCAAGGAAAGCCTAACCAAGTCTGGTCAATTCCTCAGGACCTGTAAGCTGGTGCATAACGAAGGCTGTTCGATCTTATACGGCGAGAACACATTCTCCTTCCACCGACACTACGATACTCGAGGACCCTACTGGGAGCCGGTACCCAAGGAGATCGGTTACCAGGACGTACTGCACTTCCTCAGAATGATCGGCCCCGAGAACATTCAATACCTTCGCGACGTCAAGTTCGTCTTCGATGACGCACGCCCAAAGGACACACCCTATGTCCGCTCCAACGAGGAGCGCCGCTATCTGAACGATGACTACCTGGCGAACTGCCTCCGCATCCTCCGCAACGCCAAGCTCCGCAGGGTCACAATGTACTTTGGCGGACGTCGGCAACTGGGCCGTACCGACGTCAGGTTTTTGGGTTACCTGGAGCAGATCAAGGCCGACGAAGTGGTGCGGGAACCCGAGAAGTACCATCATGGTGCCGATAGGTTCATGAGCAGAATGGCCTGGCATGACCTGAAGGAAGCGATGGTGCGAAAGGACAGGCTCTACGTGAAGGAGTAGCTGAGTACTCCAGATGCCGCAGATACCATCTCGCGGCATACTACACATTACATGTACCTTGCGATCCAACCACTTCGGGTATCAGAACTGTCGGCTTCTGTCATGTTCTAATATTCTCATGTTATCGGCCTCATGTTCACATTCAGATTGCTTCGGCAACCTTCCAGTAGATCTAGCGATTGCTTTCACCCGAGCGGAAGTACCATGGCGACCGGGCGTTGGATGGCTATCATATGTGGTGAAGGTTCATTTTGTACAATTTACCCCCGGGCCCATGTTTCCTATCTGTCAGCGGATGACGTTGTCAGCCCCTGTCTGGCGACGGTACAGGCACTTCCTGCAGCACATCACATCAATGTATTTTCCCAACATAAAAATCCAAAGCATTAGATAAAATCCCTTCGTGCTGTCGTGGTGATTGGTCCAACCCCTCATTATCATTCCTCGATATTACCACCAATGGCACGTCCGGGCCCCAACAACGCACCGACGGCTAAAATGCGACATCCCCTAGCCCCGACCCCACCAGCTATTTCTCAGCCAGCCTGCAGCAACGTGTTGAACCATGGGACAAAAGATGTACCTTGCATAAGCGAGCCGTGCGAACACCTGCTTAATGCGGTACGCGATGGTGGTGTGGCTGCAGGGCAAATCATATACAGTACAATAAATTGAGTTAGGCAGCGGGAAGCCGTTGTCAATATGAAACATTGCTGCACGTAGCCGCTGCCAGTTGTTCTTGCGCATGCAGAAAAGAATGCACCTCGATGCGTTCGTTCGTGCATGCATCCCGTTACCGGGCTGGAGGGTACGGGCGGAACACGATCTGGAAGGTGGTCAGAGTCCTATTTAGCCTCTGTATACTATTTGGGCGAAGTTGGTGGTCGAGTTCATAAAAGTGGTTTGATATAGCCGGTTTGCCCGATGAGCTCCTCGGACAGGACAGCACGGGTCAGGGTAGTGATTCAGTGGGGATACGGTACGCGATGCACGTTGTGGCTGGTCGGTGCGGGAGGTACGTCAGCGATCATGTACGGAGGCCACGGAGATTTTGTGGAATTGGTTAGAGCGGAGGGTGATGTGAGGGGTTGGCACTTGGTGCCCGTAGCTTTTTGCATGTGTCTGTTCATTTATATCGTCGATTCGTCTAGACATCGTCATCGTTCGGTCCGGTGAGCGGTTCTATTTGATGCGCTCCTCGGGATTGCCGAGCATGTGCGTTGAACCCACTTATGCCGTCTTTCCTTTCCGCTTCTTGAACTCTTCTATCCAACCAGCTGCCTTGTCCTTTGGTATCACGCTTATCGTTACCAGGCCGTCGACGATCTCTGGCTTTCCGCTTCCAAGTACTTTGCCTAGGCTCATCTTCTTTCCTACTTTGATCAGACCACCGGCTGCAGTTTCCATGTAAGACTCTATGTTGTCGATGGTGTACTCGTGCTTCTCGTCCCATGGCAGCGGGAAGATGTAGTCGAGATGTTCGTCTAGCTTCTCTTTCTCAGAGAACGCCTTGATGAAGTCAGACTGCGAGTGCATGGGATACAGCAGTATGACTGGCACCGTGAGTGTTGAAGAAGGATCCAGGCTGTTCTCCAGCTTGACAGTGGCGTCTTCCAAATCTGGGGGCTTCTCCGTGCTCCGCGTCAGGATATTCCGGCTCCTCAAGGCGAGTTTGAGTGTTAACCGCTCTGATGCAGCCTTTTCTTCTCGTTCGCGACGCGCCTTCTCGACGGATTCTATGTACTGCTTCCGAGCATCGATCTTGGTTTTGAGGGCCTTGAGAGGGGCGTTGTTGGCATCTAGGGCCAGGCCTCTGTCGCAAGCCCAGGCTGCTTCCTGTAGCTTGTCGAGTGCTAGACCAGCAGTGGCTGATCTGTAGAAGGCTTTGACGTTTGCGGGGTTGATCTTGAGCGTGGATACGCAATCTTGAATGCAAGAGCGATAATTTTCTGCCGCGTGTCAGCAGACCACAGTCGAAACTTTGGTGAAGAAGCCATAATGCCTGTCTTCAGGGTGTGCTTGCAAACTCACTCTTCTCCAAATTGCATAATGCTCGGTTGACATAGACGGCCTCTGCAATCGCTCTTTCCTTCTCCGCCTCCTCCTTCTCGTCAAGCTCCACGGGAATAACGTCTGGACCTTCCGCATCTGGATCAGGGTTTGTTTGTGGACCTTTGAGCGCCGCTATTGCTTTGTCGTAGAACTCTTTCGCGTCTGTCCATTGCTTTGCCCGCGCGCATTCGTTGCCTTGCTGCCGGAAGTTCTCAGCGATCTCCGCACGGGTTCCCTCGTACGCCATCGCTTTCAACGCCTCGAGCGCCATGTTCTCGCCTCCCTCGCCATCTGTTTCATCTAGACTGGTCATGAAGATTGGCATACGGTTCATCTCTTTCAGCAAGTCGTCTACTTTTTTCGACTTGACATCAGCCATCGCCGGTGGCAAATCTGCAGACGCCGCCGGTGGGCCATTTTGATCTGTTTGCGCCATGTCGCCTGTGTTGCTTCGAGAAATTCACAACTGTTGTCGCAAATATCACGATATGCTCGCTGTGACTGTCTGCTCGAATTTTCGGCGGATAGTCGCTTAGTCACGCGATGGCGGGGCTGCTGGCTTCGGGAACCCTGACGTCCCAACTTGCAATCACTGGCTGCCTGCGGTCGAGCAGACAACCCAGTCAGAGGGCACCACCAGCCACCCGCCTACAAGCTAGCAGAGCAAAGCAAGAAGGGATGGCGCAGGACAACGAGAGGGGCACGCTAAAATAGGGTGAGCCGGCACCGGCGCTTCCGCGTCATGCTATATCGTCTAAGCTTCTCGTCCACGCCGAAGGTTCAGGGCGCTGTAGCCGATTACGACGCAAATCTCCTATTTGCTTTTCTGAGACAACCACGAGTTCCAGTAGGGCCGAGCAATACCGACTGACACCTGACGAGGCATACATTGTGCGACAGTTGGATCGTGAGCTGTTATGTCGCGTGTCGGGTGGAATCATGGAATGTTCTGTTGATTGCCAGGCCGCCGTATTGCGCCCTCAGCTGTCCGCACATCAGGCCCACTCTCCGCTGGTGGACCAAGTACTCCTTGTTACACTCGGGGTCCATTATTCGTGAACCCCATCGGCGAAGTATCGATTCAGAATGATGGTTGCGAGCAATTCCACCACATGGCAAGGCTGTTTATTTGGAGGCGTTCAACGAAACGTCAATCGATCGCGTTCAGGATGCCACTTGCACGTCGCGCGACGCCTTCAAACTGTATCCTTCCCGTCCGCGGGGGATTGCCCATTCGACAGGCTCAGCCTGGCCAGAGATCAAACGTCATGGTAGCGTGGATCTTGCTCTCGATTTGTTGGGGTAAGAAGACGGCCTGCGATCCTCAACTTTCACATGTGCCGAACTCCTTACTCGACTACCCGACTGACCATGACTGAGGACTGCTACAAATACACTCTGGCATGATAACTAAGCATCTCACAAAAAGAACTCTGAGGCTGAGGTTTCCATTACTTTCAACTTGTAGAATTGCGTCGTCGATCTGGACTCGAGTTCGGCTCCTTTGCACCGCCAAGAGCGCACGGATGAATCCTTTCGTCTCGAAGTAGGAAGTCGACTACCTCTGCTTGACTCTCACCTGACTCGGCAGTACAGGATAAGGCTGCTCATTCATGCAACTGCCTACCAGTATGGCAATCCACATATGCCTCCTTTTTGAGGCTTCCAACAGGCATGGGATTGCCAGACCGAAACGTGATCAAAGTCTCAAGATCAATGTTCTAATTACAGGCGATGGCTATAACCTAACGGTACCGCACTGGCGCACCGGAGCGTTGGGCGCCATCGAGAGTTTGATAGCTCGGACCGGGACACGAACGTGCCACTTGGTCCAAAGCTTTCCACAGTGGGCCAAGTTTGCGGCGTGGGCAGAGGCTGAAACCCTGAATCACAGCTCATCAACAACGCCAGACTACGCCGGAGGCGTCCAGAATCACTGATAGGGCAAGGCATACGCGGAGCTTTGGACGGCGATAATATCCATCTGGCAAATTACCGTCCACGCAACTTTCGTCTGAAGCCAGCTGCGCCCAGGGTCGTATGAACTTGCGCCTCACATCTGCTGATGCTGCTCCTCTCGCGCATCTGTCACACCCCCTTCGTCAACACCGTTACTGCCACCCGCATTCGTTACCACCTACCCCTTGTCGGGTCATTTCCTTCACCTCGCTAAGGTATTGGCCGTCTTCGCGGGACGCATTTAAGGGAACGTTGGACCTAAATGCGCAGCCAATGACGCTTGGCTGAAAAGCGGAAAGCGGATGGCCTGAGCCAATAGTGTCCCTGTAGTCCAGGGGACCCTCGGCTCAGCCTGCATGCAGGGATACTTGTGCTCGCTAGTGCGGAGATGTGCATAAGCAGATGGACTCGGACATCGAAACAAATTTGAGCAGGCACAGATGGGGTTTGATTGATCCCAGGAATCCTATTCGTGCCTTTGGCCATAGTCCCGCCTCCTCTTGGACTGTGCGGACTTGTGCCTGCGTTCCGGGATCCTAGCTGATGCATGGGCGATCACAGCGATTTCATGCTCAAGTTGTGCCTGTCCCTCCTTCTCCTCCCTACGCTCCGTGCCGTTGACGACACACGGGTATCATTCTCGTAGGGCCCGCTGCCCGTTGCTTGACAGTTCTTTTCTTACCATCAAAAGTGTTTTAGCACGCGCCATTAGTCGCTTTCTTCATCTCATTTGCATCGTATGTATGGAATGAGTTGAGCACGTTTCTCTATCTATCGACTTTCACCATTGTCACGTCATTCCTTTGAACCGTAAGTACGCGCCATTGATTCGTGAATGGACCTGTTCATTACGACAGGACTCTTTGCTTGGAAGCCATTTGGTACTGACCTTCTACTGCAGTATCCAGACCATCCGAACGCTGCCGTCGATATATCTACCCCACGTAATCCGATCCGACGCTATCCACTATCCTTGAGGACAACTCCTGCTATCCCACGTAACTAGCATTCAATACCCGATTGTAGTACGAACGACTCGACCGGTACGTGAACCATTGCCATGTCTGTTGGTGGTCGATACAATCGCTATTGTTACAACAATCAGTTGTGGAAGCGCGTCGACAGAGACTCCACAAAGACACCCCTGGCTACGGCAACAGGAGACGCGCCATTGACATATTCTGACTCTATTGCAGGCATGTGTTAAGCTATACGTACCTACAGCACCACTTCGTTGTGGTTCTGAACACCCTACTACATAATATACTTTCCTGGCCTAGACAATACACCCGACATGGCTACCGACTACTTTTCCGACCAGGAAACCTTCCTGACCAACCACCCGCTTCCCACCCCCGCTGGAACTCCATACAGCTCCTTATCCCGAAGAACCTCAACACACGAAACACCAGGAAGCGATGTTCCTAGTTCACCACCTCCACTTCCACACGACAACAGTTCCAGTTGGGACGATGCTGCCAACGACGAGAGTATCTCAGTTCTGGATCCGCGCCGCTTTACTCCAACCTTGCATGCCAATCTAGTCTCGGAGATCTTGAATCTCCGCCGGGAACTTGATTCGAAACACAGGTTCATCGATGATCTGGAGACAAACCTAGACACCGCGCGATCCGAAAACGACGCCCTTGCCAAACAGCTTTCCTCGTCCAACAAGGAAAGCAAAGCCGTCAAACGCCAGCTCCAGCACTTCGAGACCGAAACACTTGCTGCATTAGAAGAGATTGCAGGTGAAAGAGACAAGTTCAAGGAGACCAATGCCGACTTGCGAGAGAAACTAGCTGCAGCAGAAAAGAGGACAAGAAGCCAAGATGACGACTCTACCAAGGTGCACGACATGTGGGCTCGCGAAAAAGAAGAGTGGGCGGGAGAAAAACGAATTCTGGAGCGACGTGTTCATGTGTCAGAGACCCGCTTGAGAATGCTTTTGGACGAGATCGCTATCCAGGAAGAAGCTGCCAATGAAGAGGCTGGTGTCGAAAGTGAGGCTGAAGACCCGAGCAAGGACACTGGTATACCGGAGAGCGACGCAGGAAGCGTACGTTCATCGCCACAGCGAAGATCATCTACACGTCTTGGACGTCATTCCAGGAACAGAAGCAACAGCAGTTACAGGAGCATTGGACGCAGCTACCGGATGTCATTGATGAGCTCTGATGGGTATGGCAGAGGCAACGGTCTTAGTCTTGCAGACGAGCTCACATTCGACGAAGAAGAGGAAGAGTTGGATGATCTGGAGCTTGACTCGGACGACTTCCCTGAGAATGAAATGCGGGCTCGAAGAGTCCGCGAGTCGCGACAGTCGATGTTACCTGACGAAAAAGCAAAGCGCATCCTAGGATTAAGCAGCGATACCCAGCAAGTTACATGGGATAGCCCTGTCATGGCTGCCGATGATACCGAGCCGCGGAAGTCGTCATATGAAACGGTTCAATCATCAGTAACATTGACGCCTCGCGATATTACTCTCGTCTTCCCGCCAACGCGACCAATCTATGTCGACACCGGTGTGCAACCGTCGCCTCCACCATCACCTGCCAAGTTGGTCATGGTGGAAGCGACGTCGCAAACTATTGAGCCATCTGTCCAGACCAAGTCAAATGATTTCCCATCTACTGCTGCTGAGATTGAGGCCAACCAAAGTCGGAAGCGTGTTTCAGTACCCTTGACTTCCAGCCCGCCTGTCCAAGCCAGCCCTGAGATTTGCACAACGACCTCAAGCTCGGTACAGACAATCGAACAGCCTCTCAGTCCGCCACCTACGCCTAGGATCCCTCAGCCATCAGACAAAGCACCCTTGTCACCAGTCTACCAAACTCAGCTCGTGTCTACGGCAACGCAGACAGACTCGCCGATCGAGTCTGAAGTAGTACCAGAAAAGCCTACTAGAGCGCCACCGCCAGCGCCGATAACAATCCCTTCTATTGCTATCCATGCTCCTACATCTGCTCCTTCGTCGCCCAAGGCCCCGATCCTTCCTCCAGGAACCAAGACTGTCTCGACCCAAACCACCGGCGACCTGATAGCTCCAATGTCTTCGACTGGCATGCAGACTGAGCCAATCAGGATTGATCAGAGAGCTGTGAAGCTTCCTGCGCATCTCCTTCCTTCTGCTATAACCTCCAAGCCTGGCACTCCTGAGGCAGATCACGTCAAGACAATTAAGAAGGATTCCAGCGATGCCGAGAACTCGACTCTCAAGACCACGTCTCGCCAGGACTTCATTACCCGTCTTGAGAAGGCTGCCGAGAAGAAGGTTGAGAACCGTTATCCAGGAAACAACGACAACGGACCTTTGTCACGCCAGCTTCATTCAGACATGCTCAACCGACCCTTCCGAACAAGCAGCCTTTTCGCCGGTTTCGATGGTCCTTCGTCTGATGAAGAGGATGATGACGCGGACCTGAGCGACGACGACTATAGGAGCCCACAGTTCTCTACCCCAATGCTTTCATCGCGTAATGCAAAGAGCGGACGGCCAGTGAACCCACCTACCCCTGTTCCTGAAGACAAGGAATCAACGCCCATGCCTAGGCCATCGGAGGATTCTATCAACAGTGTATCTATAGCGTCTAAGCGTAGCTCGATGGAGAAACCGTCTAGAGTTGGCAAGGCACAGCGTAACTCTATCGGCCGCCAGCCCAGCATCCGACGATCTGCCATGATCCACAGCGGAACCGCAGCGCACAACATTCCCAAGCCACCCTTCCCGGTTCCCACTCGATCCAGCTCCCGCAACAAGCCAGTGAGCAAGAGCGAAGGTTCGCAAAGCCCAACCCCTCGCAACAGTGGCTCTTACGCTGGTCGCCGTCCATATGGCGTGAAGCATCAGCGCAAAGATAGCCTACGCAAGGTGCGATCTGCTGCTCCTGTCTCCAAGGGCGCACGCTCTCGCAGCAGATCACCCACACTGCCTGCGACTCCGAGCATTGCCGATACATCTTCAATCCCTCCACTACCGAGCGACATTGCCAGCGCAAGTGGCTTCCGCCACCGACACCAGCTATCAAATGCAACTGCAGCGACAAGCTACACAGCCAACGGATCTACGAACACTTCTGTCTCGCACACAAGTGTCGTCGATGCGATCGCTGCAGCCATGATTGGAGAGTTCATGTGGAAGTACGTGCGCAAGAGGAAGACTTTTGGTGGCCCTGACACGCCGGTGGATGTCAGTCGCGCAGCAGAGGAGGCTTCTTTGGCTAGCCATGGTGTGAGGCACAAGCGTTGGGTCTGGATCTCTCCATACGAAAGAGCCATCTTGTGGAGTAGCAAACAGCCAACGACTGGTTCCGCGTTGATGGGTAAGAGTGGTCGCAAGCGTAAGTCTCTCGAATTCATGTCACTTTCTACCTACTAACATACCACTAGTCGTCATCCAGTCTGTTCTCGATGTCGCCGACACCTGTCCTGCCCCGAAGAACGAGACACTCTTCAACCGCTCTATCCTCATCCTTACTCCTGCTCGCGCACTCAAATTTACCACATCGTCCCGCGAAAGGCATTACCTTTGGCTGACGGCCCTTTCTTTCCTCGCCCATTCGAGCGCACCCATGCCAGATCTGACTTCTTTGCCACCGGTACCTCCGCCGGTCGACGAAACACTCCAACGTCAACAAGGTGCGACACTCCGCCGTAGTCGTGTTCAGGACTCTGTGCGTCTCGCCAAGGGAAGGACCAACCCAGTCATGGCTCGTTACGCAGCTCAAGATGAGCCAATGCCTAGCTTGCCATCTCTCGCTGGATTCGAAACGGCTATGCCAGACTCTGCCAGCCCTCCCACTATTCCTCGTGGGCCACAACACGGCAGGAAGAGGAGTTCTACAGGACCAAGCGCACCTCCTCCGACTGTTCCTTTCCGCAGTTTCTCGCACCAGCATGTACCATCGGTCTACTCCAACGTATCATCTGATATGTACAGTGCCGGCGTACCGCCATCAGTACCTTCGTCAGTCTACAACCCCAACAGCGGCGCCATGAGTTCGCGAACCTCAGAAGCCAGCACATCGACTCGTCAACATTTCTTCGACACCATGGGCACAGTCCGCATGGAAGCCTTCATCGACAACGCTCTCGGCGACCCCAAGCAGCTGAGCAGCTACGGCGGACGAGCACCGCACATGCAGCACCGTCGCCGACGCGGCAGCAGCCAGTGGAGCGCGAGCACGCGCGACCAGTCGAACCGAGGCGGCGGTTTCTTCGACTTCGACGCTAACGATCCTTTCCGTGGTTTCTAAACAACGCACTGCACTTACGACTCGCTCACGTGTGACGGGCATGCTTTACGGTCGCTCGGATGTCTTCCACCGCCTGTTGCCCTTTTGTCTTTCGACTATCTCCATCTTTCGCTTGTACCGTCTTATTCTCTCACTGCTAGGGCAACGACCCATACGACTCAACGTCATTGTGCGGAGGTCCCATATACCTCGTCTGCATCTTTCCTACCGTCACTCTACTTCGACCCACCTTTTGTATTCTCCCACTCGCTCAACAAACCCTGGGGGCCTGACTGCAAGGCTAGAAAGCGGTTGTGCTCGCGCGCATCTTATCACTCGTACCGCCTATTGTAATGTTTCTTCTCTCGGCCGGCTTTCGCTGCTGCGCACCATTGATACCCCTCTCGCTACCTTTACCTCGTGGTCTTTGAGCGACCTTTATTCCCTTGCTTGTTTTTTCCTTTGCACGAGCGTTCTATATCCACTTTGTCTTGGTTGGAGGTGTAGCCTGGGCGATATTCACTCGCTACTTGGTGGGGGATGGGCAGGGGGTAGCCTCAGGGGCAATGACCCAAGTTGGTAGTTTGTGAAGAATCCTACAATCATTACCGCTATCTATGATACCGATCAGTCTGCATGTAATGATCTACTGTGCATCGCTGGATCTCCAGTGCTCACCATCACGTCAACCAAGGGAAAAACTCAACAGATCTGGAGCCTACATCTACGTTAGGGCAGCTACTTTGCAGGTTTCCATGTTAATGTAGGCTGTAGATCTGTTCAGCTTTTCCCTTGTATGAGGTGCTATGTTCCATGTTCAAAAAAAAAAGTCGGGTGTGTCTGACATAGCCGAAACCAAAAAAGCTTCATTCTCCGCCAACACCCCACCACGCATACCACCACGTCTCCCTACACTACTCAAGGCCTCTACGGATGCAAAAAGAGAGGTCTTGCCCGGAATCGAACCGGGGTTGCCGGAAGACACTGATTTTGAGATCAGAATCCGGAGTGATAACCGCTACCTGGATGGTTATTAGCGGGGGCAAGTTGGTAAGTGAGGAAGAGGATCTACGCACACTACAAAACCGATTGTAAGCGAGTTGCTTGACTGATTGATGGGGCGATGAAAGATATTACAAGTTATGTAGATGTGTAAAAATGTGTGGAACAGACTTGGTGGTTTGCGTGGTTGGGCCGTGGTGGGGCTGCGGTGAGAATTTGCTGGAAAGTGGTGCGAGGACGCCGAGGTATGCCGGGATCGGGAGGCACAGCTTTACTCGCATCACATCATCACATGTAGACTGCCTCTGATTTTCTGATATGCATTTTACGTTGAACTGATAACTGGATATCCTACAGACATGAATCTTCTCATCTTCTCATCACAAAGTATAATACTGCCTACTACATGCATATAATAGACTTTATCGATCCCTTAAGTGTATTTCTCGGGCTGCTACGACTATCTTTACCTTTTGAAATAGAACAAATTGCTGTGTTGTCTAAGGCTCGCTGCATCGCGTTCCCGAAGTTCGTGTGCCGAAGTTTCGCCTTTTTGTCCCCACCCCTGCCAACGAACACATCCTTCAATATTGAATCGATGGGATTCAGAAACGATGTGATGTGCTTCTCTAAGCTTCCAATTTACGTGTGTTGGAGTGAAACGTGTATTCGGATTTTGCCAACTCAAAATCTACCAAAAAAAAGTCCATATCCGCCCACGCCTATTCACTGCCCTCCCCCACAACAAAAAACGAATGCACTACAGAACCTGTAGCTCCTCTTGACTCATCGGAGGTTTGAACTCCGGACCTTCAGTGTCCTAACGGGTGGCTTTTGAAGACCCCTTGTTAGACTGACGTGATAACCAACTACACCAACGAGCCCTGTTTTATAGCAAATAGAGAAACTATAAGACTTATGTAGTTGTTCCGGGGCCGCTGTCAGCAGAACTGAGAGAATTACAGGACTTGAACTTGTGCGGTCGCTAGGGCGAAAAGGGGGGGTTGAATGTGGGCAGCTTGCTGGAGCTATACCCACTTGGCAGGGTGGGGAGCTATCAGCTTACTACACAAACACCCTGGTACGAGGGGCAACGAGTCTTCATTGGAGCTTACACTAGTAAGCATTCTCACTGCATCAGGTTATGTTGGCCTGGTGTTGAATAGGTGGTTGTGGTAACTAGAATATATTGACTTATAACGGTATCTGATATCGCGAACAGGGACGCGGAAACAACTCACAACAGGCATCGCAAGAACAACAACAACCCCTCACTAGTAAAGGTGTCTAGAGCTTGCTGCCTGCTAATCTCCTCTTCTCCTTCTCTTTGTCCCTCAGCAACCGTCGCAGAATCTTTCCAGACGGTGACTTCGGAATCTCATCGATGAACTCAATACCACCGCTGATCCACTTGTATCGTGCCTTGTGTTCTTCGACATGCTTCTGAATCTCGCGAGCGAGCACGCGGTCGTTCTCTTCCAGACCGACTGACGGTGATTTGACGACGAAAGCTTTCGGTACCTCTCCGGTCTTCTCGTTGGGGATTTGGATGACGGCGCAGTCGTTTACAGCAGGATGCGTTAGGAGATGTGCTTCGAGCTCTGCAGGTGCAACTTGGTGGCCCTGGGAAATTGTTAGTATTCGTTGGCTGGCATGATGAGTGGAGAGCATACCTGAACCTTGATGAGTTCCTTGATACGATCAACGATGAAGACGTGTTCGTGACCATTTGCCCCCTTCTTGAATACAGCCTCATCACCGGTGCGCATGTACCCATCTTGGAAGGTTTCCTTGTTGGCCTTGTCGTTGTTCAGATAGCCCAACACGACTGAAGGAGACTTGACTAGCAACTCGCCAGGCTGATCGTAGCCAGTAATCTCGGTGCCCTCAATAGTAACGATCTTGCACTCGATGCTAGGCAGCAGAGAACCGGAGGAGCCGAACCAGATATCATCGGGAGAGGACGAGGAAACAACGGTGCATGTCTCTGTGAGGCCATATCCTTGTCTGATCTTCCACGACGGAAAGATTTTCGACAGATCCTCTGCCGTCTCTTGTCCTAACGGCGCTGCGCCGGTAAAGATTGACCAGACAGAGCTGAGGTCGTATTTGTCGAGCAGGGGCTTGTTCTTGGTCATGAGGATGATGATCGGTGGGACCAAAAACAACGAGTTGATCTTGTAGTCCTGGATGGCCTGCAGAGTTGACGAAAACTCAAACTTGGGGAGAACTACGACACCATCACCACGGTAGACATTTGCATGGCAGATGACAACCAGGCCATAGATATGCGACATGGGCAAGAGGCCCAGGGCGATCTCGGTATAGTCGGACTGATTTCGTACGTCGTTGATGATCGTGTCTCTGTACGGCTTCTCGTAGGTAGTGATTTGCACTGCTTGTGGTCAGCTAGTGTTTGATGCGATAGAGGACAAACTTACTTGTGTTGGCGATGACATTCCTGTGCGATATCATGACACCTTTCTGTATGATACGTTAGGATATATATGCGCGTACATGCAATACGTTCACTCCTTACCGGTAGTCCTGAAGTACCGCTAGAGTAGCAAAGGAACGCGGTCCGCAGAGCTCCGTCGCCTTTCTCCCAGTCCAATTTCGGCAGACGGTCAAGCTTCTCGCCCTCACGGATGAGATCGTCGACCGTCTTGAGCCCCTTTGGTGTTTTCTTGCCAGCAAACGATTCGGGCACCTCCAGTATGTATATGCGATTCTCGGGGATGCCGCAGTTCTTCGCCGCCTGTCGCGCGGTGTCTAAGAGGGGGACGCAGGTGAAGAGGGCTTTCGCGCCGGAGTTCTTCAATTGGTATTCGAGTTCAGCGGTACTGTACGCAGCATTGGCGGGCGATTGGATGCCACCCAGACGATGGGTAGCCCATGCCAATGGAAGCGTGTCAATCTAGCCAACGTCAGTATCCTCGTAAACCCATCAGCCTGGAGATGCTTACCGTGTTGACGGAGAAGACAGCGATGACCTTGTCCCATTCAGTCGCCTCGTTAGGTTTGAAGCCAAGCTCCTTTGATAAGCCTCGGGCGAGAGCCTCGACACGGTCTCGCATATCCAAACACGAGTATCTCTTCCCGGTCAACCCGCAGGTGAAGGGGTCGTTCGAATAGCCGAGCGGGTGACGGCCATAGTGCTCATCGAGCATAAAGTCGCAGATGGGAATCGAGTCTGGCGGATCGAAGGGGAGCTGCGGCACCCATGAAGGAGGATTGAACGGCATGTTGAGCGATATCTACGCGTGCGTCAGTTGTGCGCGAAGTCTTGGGACGGATGCAGGAACTCACCTATAATAAGCCTCAATTGGCGATGCAGGGAGAAGACAAAGGAGGAATCAAAACTGCAGCTTTAACGCATGCGCCCATCTTCCTGAATGACGTTAGCATCATCGGATGCCGTGTCTTGTCGGAGCCGACAGCTACTGCCAGCCCCCAACTGTGGGGAAAGCTGGGGTACCGAGGTCACGCCTCGAAGCGGCCAAACCTCTCCTTAACGCCGGCCTTAGCTCGGAGCCACCAAAATGCGACTCACCTCCTCGACCCAGACACGCAGAAAGAAATTATTGCAATTCGGGACCGAGTATCATCAGGAGCCGCAAGCATGACGAATCTCTCCAGGTTTGGCTGCTATCTTGGAAGTCGCTCCTATCGCGACGTACTACAGCAAGAGCAACCCTCGACCCTGCCTCCGCGCTGGCAGCCGTCTTCACTGTCACCATCTCCAACGTTTGCCCACTCTCACTGCGCCGCTCAAGTGAGAGCGACTCAGCAGAGTTTTCCGTGACTCCAAGTACGGCTATCTTCCTATTGTCGCACGAACCTGAATTGAATTTCTATTGTCCGCATGACGCGATCCCACCACCTGCCACTCCTGACCTCACTCTGTTGTTTCTAGACTTCAATTTGTCTTTCTTGTCACTTCAGCTATCGCTACTGAATATCCGACATACACGTAACAGCAAATCACTACTCGACTCACCCACCTCTCATGGCATCCTCAAAGCGCAAGTCTGACGACAGCGATTCCGACTGGGAAGGTGCACCCGGAGCGAAGCAACCCAAACCCACGCCCGAATCAGGGACTGCTGAACTCCATAAGGATCTCGGTAACTATGGCAGCGCATCTTCCCAACGCCCGGCACGAGTAAGGAAACCTCCGGAAAGATACATCAACGCACCGCCTCAGCCGCCTGTCTCTAAGAGAAGGAAAGCGACCTTGACCAAGGCCAAATCATCCGCCCAGAGAGCTCCAACTACAACAAGAGGTGCTTCTCATCAGATTCAGACCGAAGCTCCGGTATATTTGGAGACAAGTGTCAATGGCAGCGACACCTCGTCGCAACCACCGGAGAAAGAGTCCAAGATAGTGCGTCTCAAAGTCCCAGTCACCACGTCCACACGCCAGCCAAGCCAACACCACGAAGAGGAGAGCTCCGGTAGTGAGCTATCGTCCCCGCCAGAATCTTTGCCATCAACTCCTGTTTGTAAAACCCTTGAACTTTTCGGTCCTCAGGCTAATTAGCAAGCAGATCTCTGCCCACAAGAACACACAGAGCTCTTCTCCGCTGGACGGACAAGGTCAATGTGCACAGCGTGTATTGGAGCCCGTACCGGCATCGAGCCAAGATTTTGCAACTCCATCTGCCTCGCAGGAAACCCTCCCAAGCCAGACCCCCATAACGCAGTCATGGGAACCATATACGCCGGAGGACAGTATGCGCAACGTCCCAGACTTCGCCAATCACGCGCAAACACCACCGTCAATGCTTTTGAAGGAGGCCGACAGTCGCTTCGCATACCTTACGCCCGAATCAGGTATCCACTATGATCCGAGTCTCGTACATGACAAGTCGAGCGTTGATCTTGGGAACGGCCAGGTGCCTGAACAAGACTCATATCTATCCCAGCCCATACTGTCTTTGGGCTTGACCTGCGGAAGGTGTGGCGCAGCTGGGCACGAAGAGCATGACTGTTCCGTGGCTCCTTCTATCCCCGACAATCGAGATCGCAGCGGGCAGGTCGAGGCTTGGCTTCGAGCTGGCGGTCCCGCCGACCAGACAAAGCCGCCCTGTGCTGACCATGTCGCGCCGGTACCCAGTCTGTATGCAGAATCAGAAGCAACAACGGATTGCGATGAATTCGTGGGCTCTCCCGTCGGCGAACGATTCGACCTACCCGACAACAAACACCTCTATAATATTACCGAGAGACTCATTGCCCAGCAGAACAGAGGCTCGAACAAGCCAGAACCGCACGGACAACCAGAAGTTTGGGCCGATGGACGGCAAGAGATCTGCGAGACGCTACATTACTATCGCGCATACCAAAGCGCCTGCTACTCAACTGGCGGTTTTGCGAGGGGCTTCATGTTTGACAAGGTTGCGCATGCTCGCGACTATATGGATACTAATGTCGTCATCTCACGTGCAGGCGGTGGTCTCGCGAAGGACATTGACTCTGGTGAGATGAAGTCAAAGAAGGACCAATCTGAAGACTCAGCTGCGTTAGGCTTGAGGAATTGCATGCTTCATTCCAACCCAGTCGTCATCATTACCGGAGTCGACAACCCCAACATTCCGTCAAAGCCACCGCATCAGTACTGTGTCCTGGATCACTTCAAGCCCACCCATATTTGGGCCGAGAAGAGTGGTAACAGCAAGATTGTGCGATACCGCTTTGAGAAGCTGAACACCAAGAAAGAGTCCTGGTGGAAGGAGAAGGATTCTCAGGAAGTTGTAGAGCTTGGCTCGCTGCCACCTCCAGTTGAGAAGATATGCGGAAGCTGCAACGTGAAGTCTCAACAGATATACCTGAACGGGTGGATGTGTCTACAACCGACTTGCGCCGCCTTTTGGAAGATTCT